AATCTGCCTTCCAATGCAGGGGACGTGGGTTTGATCCCTGGTCGGGGAACTAAGATCCCACATGCTGTGGGGCAACTAAGCCCGCACGCCACAACTACTGAGCTCGCGTGCCGCAACTGCTGAGCTCGCGTGTCTCAACTAGAGAGCCCACATGCCACGAACTACAGAGCCCACGTGCTCTGGAACCCCTGCACCACAACCACAGAGCCCACACTCACTGGAGCCTGTGCGCCACAACTAGAGAAGAGAAAACCCACATGCCACAACTAGAGAGAAGCCTTCGTGCCGCAAAGAAGATCCCGCACGTCACAACGAAAGATCCCTCATGCCTCAATAAAGATCCCACATGCCGCAGCTAAGACCCAATGCAGCCAAAAATAAATAAGTAAATAATAAATAAATCTTAAAAAAAAAAGAATAACTATCCTAGAGCACAGGCAACAAAAGAAAAAATAGATAAATTCAACTACATCAAAATGGACACTTATGTTCATCAAAAGACTATCAACAGACTTGAAAAGACAACCCACAAAATGGGAGCCAATATTTGCAAATCATTTATCTGATAAGGGGTTAATATACAGAAATATAAAAAAACCTCCTACAACTCAACAACAACAAAAACCCAATTTTAAAAACAGGCAAAGGATTTGAATAGACCTTTCTCCAAAGAAGATAATCAATAGCAATAAGCACTTGAAAAGATGCTCAATGGGAACTCCAGTTCCCAGTGGTTAGGACTGCCAAGGGCCCAGGTTCGACCTCTGGTCAGGTCAGGGAACTAAGATCCCGCAAGCTGCATGGTGTGGCCAAAAAAAAAAGAAAGAAAAGATGCTCAACATCACTAATCATCAAAATGCAAATAAAAACTACAACAAAATACCACTTCACGCCCCCATTAGGACAGGTACTATTAAAAAATCCAAAACAAACAAACAGAAAAGATTAAGTGTTGGGGAAGATGTGGAGGAAGTGGTACCCTTGTGCACTGTTGATGGAAATGTAAAATGGTGCAGTGGCTATGGAAAACTGTATGGGGATTCTTCAAAAAAAATTAAGAATAAAATTACCATATGATCCAACAACTCCATTTCTTGGTATATACCCAAAAGAATTGAAAGCAGAGACTCAAAGAGATATCTAAACACCTATGTTCACAGCAGCATTATTTGCAATAGCCAAAAGATGGAAGCAACCCAAGTATCCATTCACAGATGAATGAATAAACAAAATGTGGTATATCCATACAATGGAATACATGGATGAACCCTGAAGACAATGAGTTAAGGGAAATAAGCCAGTCTCAAAACAACAAATGATGCGTGATTCCGCTTATATGAGGAACCTAGAGTAGGCAAATTCACAGACAGGAGGAAGAATGGCGGTTGCCACGGGCTGAGAGAAGGGAGGAATGGGGTGCGGAGTTACTGTTTAATAGGTACAGGAGTTTCAACGGGAATATGAAAACATTTCTAGAGATACATGCTATTTGGTGATGGTTGCAAAAAAATATAAATGTACCTAATGCCACTGAACTGTACAATTTAAAAACGTTAAAATGATAAAATTTATGTGTATTTTACCACCCTCCAAGATAAAATAACTATCCTAAAGTCCAAATACTCATTTTTGGCAAGATATGCTTTAACATATTATTAGCTTAGAGTTAAACATTTCTTATAAGAGATAAGAGGAACAAGATTTGGGGAACCAGTTTGTCTTGGAAGGGATCACCAGAAAATGCCATTCCTTAAAAGTTAATTTCATTATGGTCATATTCCAGGGTTTAGAACTTTGAGACCTTAACCCCTCATTATAACTGTATTTTGAAAAACACTAGGAAATTTTTTGTTTTGTTCTTTTAATGAAAACTTTGGTCTTGTAACAGGTTATTTCCTCAGTACACCCTCATGTCCTAGATAATATTCTTAAAGTTTACAGAAGAATACCAAGTTTACTTTCTTCTCAGCTGTCAAAGATTTTATGTTGTATCTTTCTTTAAGATATAGGTATAAGCATTCTTGGGAAAAGGTATTATGTTTTCTTAATTTCCATCCTTGGTGATACTATGGTGTTACATGCATGCACACACATCAATCTATATATTGTAAGTGCATCAATTGAGGTTTGTTTGCTTTTTTCTTCACCTGATAAAGGAGTAGTAACAGACGTTAAAAATGTGTATGTAAAAAAAAATGTGTATGTATATATATAAAAGGAGATATAACTGCCTAACCTCCCTCCTTCATACTGCAGACACAGGTAGTGCTCTAAA